GTTATTCAGTGATAAATCTCTGTATATGTTGTATAATACATTAATAGTTCCATATCTAATTTATTGTATTGAAATCTGGAGGAAAGCATGTAAAACTACAAATCCCATTTTCATTTTACAGTAAAGAGCTGTAAGAATTACAACCAGAAAACATTTGTCACCCATCAAATATATTGTTTTATTAGTTGAAATTATTGAAATTTCATGAGTTGGTTGATTATAGTATTTTGCAGATTAGGTAGAAGGCTCTAAAAACATATTAGTTAAACATCCAGTTAAATTTTGTTAAAAGAGAGATTGAGATGTTTGTGAAACTTAAATTTTGAACCAGTTTGTTGAAGAAATATGAAAAAGAATAATGTATATACTCAAACAAATCTTTGTTCGAGGATTATTATTGTTGTTGTTTTGTTACTTAAAGACTATCAGTATTGTTTATTTTATCTTCTTTTCTTAAAAAGGGGCAGATATAAGATTTTTTCTTCTTTCTGCTGCCTTGTTTTGATTTGTATTTTTTGTCTGTAGAATTTGTTTCGTTTTTAAATGAAATGAAAACTTTAAAAAATTTCAACATTTTCATCATTCGGCTTTAAAACGTGCACAGACAGTTTTCCATACCTGAGACTCAAAAAGCTGGATGAGCCTTGCTCCCGTTTGAGGCCCTCAGGAGGAGGAAAATCAAACGACTCCAAGCCCGAGGAGGGCAGGAGCTCGCTGCTGGAGGACAGACTCACGTCCACCTTCTCCTCTCCTCTGGTGAGTTTGACCAGTCGTGAGACGAGCAGCGGAACCAGCCCCAGCTCCTGCAGCTGCTCCATGGCCGACTCGTCGAAAACAAAGTCTACGCAGGCCAGGATGGCCAGCCTGGACAGCGGGTGACTTTGATGAGAGGACAGAAACTTAATCAGCACCTCCAGCCCACCGCTCTCCTTCACCTTGGCCCGGTTCACCGCCTCCTTACAGCACAAACAGAGAGCCTTAAAAAAGACCCCCGACTTCACAGCATCCTTTTTCACCTCCTCTGTGAACTTCTGAATGACCCCCAGGGATCCCACGAGGGGCCGCATGCAGCCCTGAGAGCACAGGTTAGCCAGAGTTTTCAACGCCAGCTCTTCAAAMGCTTTATCGGACTCCCCCGACGCCAGGACTCCGAGCTGAGCCAGGACTCCAGAGCGGGACGCCTCCCTGGCACACTCGACGCCGCAGCCCCGCGTCAGCTCGTGGAGGGCCCTCAGCGCCGCTCGCCTCAGCCCGTGGGGGTACTCCGGAGCGACGAGGGGGGCGAGGGCAGACAGCGTGCCCTGGGTGAGCAGCGAGAGGCGGTTCGAGGGGGAATCYGAGAGGTAGAGGAGGGCCCGAGCGGCCGACTGAGCGCACTCCAGTTTGGGGCAGGGGTCAGAGGGCGAGGAGGCAGAGGGGGACGACGAGGACGACGGCAGGGTCACGCAAAGGAGGAGGAGAGGAACACCGCCTGCACAGAAAAACACACATTTTAAAAAATAAATACAAAACAAATGCCAAAGACCAAATTTCTTTTTTTTACAACACAACAAAAACAAACATTACAGACAATCGTGCAACATTTCATAACAAAGCAAAGAACCAAAACAAACAAAAAGAGAAAGAGAAGCAAAATAAATAAACTGAGCTTTAAAGTAAAACAAAATGTGACTGGTCTTAATATTAGTCAAAATACCAATATTTGAGGATTGGTAATTAATAAATAT